AAATAATAACACAAAAAAATTGTGAAATCCTTATAACAAACAATAAGGAATCTTATATAAAATGTTTGCCAAAAAGCAGCTTTTTGGTTTTTGAAATTTTCTATAACTTTTTACAATTTTTTTGCCTAACTTGCTTCTTTCTTTTGTTGTATTAATTTGCAAATTAAAATACTTTTCGATAGTTTCCATTCAAATGAAAAGATTTGATTACCTCGAACTAAAATATCTTTTACGATGATGCCAAGAAGAGATCGATTTTTCTTCAATTGGGATTGTCAAAAGATAAGAGACAGATGTAATACTTTGAACATATTAATAATGTGATTAGGTTTTTATTAGATAGTTCCACGAATCAAACGTTATTTAGATACGTTTTAAATCAATAATAAATTATCAGAAAAAAAAACAAAACGCACAAAAACAGCCTTTCGGTGTCTCAATAAACGGTACATTTTAAAAATATGGTTATAGATGATTTTTATCTTAAAACAAACGTTACCAAATGTACAACGTACAAGGCTTGAAAATTTATTAGTTTACTTTCATTTATTTTTTTTTTCATTTTTCAAGTTTTCATTTATTAGTTTCAAAGTTTTATCAAGTTTTAGAACAAAGCAGATTTGCATAAAAAAATATGCTTGTTTTATAGCGCCAAACAGTTTGTTTAATGTCCCTCAAAAAGAAATTGAACCACTAGTTGAATTTCACTTAACTATACCAATGGATTAAATCATTAAATTTGAAATTAAATATAGAAAGGAAGAACATTATTTTAAACAAGCGGTCGATGGCAGTCCGTTACAAGAACAACAGTAGGTACTCAAGAACCTTAGTACCGCCAGAAGTAATTTGTTCCCCTTAACTAAGTTCCAAAACGTGTTCGTTAGCAAGCTCAGCAGTCAGAAAAAGCAACATATTTTTGCCTGAAAAATCCAGTAACAAGTTTTTGCAAGATTTAAGGAAGCCACATGAATGAGAATCAGAGAGAAGGTCTCTCAGCTTTGTGGGTCATTTCGAGAATATAATATACGAGTCTCTAATGGATAAAAGTTCTGATTTTGGCGTCTCTTAAAGTGTATTTAGAGAAAGGATTTTAATTGTCCGGTTTCGAACTGAAAAATCTGAAAAATAAATACAGAAAATATACTCGTGTAATGTCGCCTTGGAAGTTAATTTCGCTAATCGCAATTTCGGTAAATTCACCGCCCTTAGAAAGTGTGTACATTTGTGATTTTGATGAAACGCCTTAAAACCATCCAATAGTGTTTGCTTATTTGTTTCTTCCGAATCAACCTTTTACTGATACATTTAAAATCAGGAAAATAAACTGTGTTAGTTTTACTAACCCATCAAATGAAAAAAGTAGTTTTTTCCAAATGCAAATTTATATTAATCGACATAAAAATTCCGAGCGTTATCAGAATTGATAGGCCAATTTTCATTTATACCCTATTTGCAGATTTTACTCCCATGCAAGCATGCACGTCTGTGGTTAAATCAATTAGGTTCTGATTTGGAATTTTAAAAGAAATTGTCTAAAAACTCATTTATTTCTTAAATGTTATTAAAATTCATGAAAAATGTCGAAAAAGGACAATTATGTTCATTTAAAAAAATGTCCTTAAATTAAGTCCCTTGGAATATGCAACTTTTAATAGATTTACAAATATAAACAGTAAATTATTTTACAGTGAATTGATGTAATCGATCTCTATAAGTTCTTCATTCATATGTCTTGAAAGCGTTTTTCTGTGAAAGTTAAGGACTTGGGAGGGATAAGGATCAGACTGATGAAACAAAATGGCTTTTATCAATTTAATCCAAAGTGCTTGAACAGTTAGAGCCCAACATCTAATGTCTTAAACCAATAACTCTAAACCAACAAACAGAAACATAAAACCCATCCCATAAAAAATAGAGCGGCGAAGTTCAGCACCTGATTCACACAAATTGCAACACAATTTGGAAAATTTACTAATGTAAAGTGTGTTCTTAAAAAATGGGGGAAGTGCATTAATAGTAAAAAAAAACATTCTTATATCTATATCAATCCTACTAATCAAGATGATAAATTTAACACACTTAGAAAATTCCAGAAGATTATTCCACTACTTGTATTATATTATGTTCTATTGTTTTGTTTATTTAGCCACCATATATTTTTAAATTAAGCTAGCGCAACTATTTGGATGCATATTTCGATTCACATACAAACTAGTAAGTAGTAAATTGAGAATTTAATTTATAAGCAATAGCTTTGAACTGTTAAATCGCTGAATGAATAGGTTTTTTCGCTGCATTGCAGCGGATCCAAAAAATTATAGCTGATGAGGTGGTTCGCACTTTCTCTTTGACCAATCAAATTGAGAATTACCCAACAAATCTGTATAGATTTAACAACATGCAGCTTATTTCGATCAGATTTTTCAAGTCACGTTTCAATGTCAATAATCAGAGAGCTATTAGCAGAATTAATACGAAGACCCGACATGTTATTGCGACAAATGAACCAGAATGATATAAACAATGTCATGTTAAGATTTATCAAAGAAGACAAGACTTTGAAATGTTAGTTGTTAGTCACCTTTATTGTTTTAATAAATAAGACAAATGGGTATATTGGATAATTCGAAGGCAAATGAAACCGTTTTATCGAGGCTTTATACTAGTACATGCATTGACAATCCATATCTAGTACAGCAATAATTTACCTTGGGTAAATCAAAGTTTTAAGTAGCGGTTTAATCACCGGCATTATTTGTTTCCAAGTTCTCATTGTCAAGGGGCTCAAACTTAAAGGGCATATTCTAAAATTATTTACAATAATACAGAGTACGTCAGAAAAGTGGCAGAGCTGAAAACACCTGTTTGTTTTTGTAGTTAACCTATAGTTTTTGTCCCGTAAGCACATGCTCAAAAGGATACTGCGATATTCTTTGCATAAAAAGAAGACGATCTGACCTAACTTTTATTAAAAAAAATGTCTGGCTCCTCTGCTATTGATGGTCAAAGTTCTTAAAACAATTTATCTTTTTTGAAATGTCGGGAGAATGATACGATGTATTTTAGTAAAACTCGCTGTGAATTTGTTCTTATGTAAAACTCATATTTTGATGAAAAAATCGAGTTCATCCGTTCTAGACAAGTGGTGAATTCTTGAGTGTCGTGGTACAAAAACTACCAGAACTTTTTATTTGGTTTCGGAAAATTTCTCTGTCGTCTTTAGGCACAAAATTTTGAAATTTGCGAGGAAGAAGAACTAATACTGTATTAATATTTGGTATGCAAAATTTTGGTCTTTGATAGTTCAGAACGGTCATAATAATCGTCCAGATTAATGTATTTTTAAATTCAAAAATCTCACTTTTTTAAGTTACACACCCCGTATATTATTAGTGTTGTTTATGAAGGATAAAGCTTGATAAGATTGAACGGGTTTCAAGTTTATTTGGCTATTTCTGTTATTGACCATTTATGAATTTGTTGTTTTTGTGCTTAAGCATTTCTGTTTACTACAAATTAGTATAATGTGATTTATAATATACAGGGTTATTCACGCTATACGGCACGGAAGTTTGCGACTAAACCGTATGAATTTTAAAAAGTATTATTTTATGAATTGTCCGACGCCTACCGAGCGCACATTTAAAAAATATTTTTGTGGTGTACAGGGTGTCCCAAAAGCTCTAAAGGTATCAAAGTTGCGTTTTTTTAAATGGAATATCCTGTATATTATTGCATTTTTGGATTCGCTGATCAAAATAAGGGTCTGTTGTAATAAAGTTTATAATACCTAAATCTTAAGGTTTTTTAAATAATACGAATTTAATCAAAATCTAATATAATTTTCACGTGTCAAATACTTTAGAAGTATTTAAGTTAT